GATCCTCCTGCCTCAGCCTCCCGAGTAGCTGGGACTGCAGGTGCGCACCAGCACGCCTGGCTAATTTTTTCTATTTTTAGTAGAGATGGGGTCTCGCTCTTGCTCAGGCTGGTCTCGAACTCCAGACCTCAAGCAATCCTCCTGCTTCCTCAAGCGATGCCTCCCAGACTTCTAGGATTACAGGTGTGAGCCACTGTGCCTGGCCCTTTTTTAAAAAATATAACCATCATCACACCTAATAAAAGTGAGTCAGTCTCCCTGGTGGGATTGCAGATGGCTTTCTGTGGTTGATTTGTTCAAATCAGGATCCAAACTGGGTCCACCTGCTGTGTTTGGTTGTTATGTCACTTAAGTCCCTTTTATTCTTGTAAGAATGTCCCCTCCCCTTTTGCTATGCTGTTGGTTTATGAGAGAAACTGTGTCATTTGTGCTGTAGGATGTCTCCTATTCAGGATTTAGTTCACCGTTTTTTGGAGTGTGTTTTTATGGGTTGTTTTTCTGTACCCACGGTTGCTGTAAACTACTGTGCAGATTATTAGCTTCCATGTCAGTTTTTAGTTACGGAAACCTCATCAACGCTGTGATGTCCTTTCTGTTGTGTCCCATCTGGAGGTCACAGCAGGTGGTGCAGGCTTAGTAATGAGAGGGAGCAGATGGTTGGGAGTTAAGCTTTTCCCCTCATTTTTTAATGTTTCTATTTAATGTGATTTTTTATTACAAGCCAAACAATAGAAAAGCATCTTTAAAAACAAAACAGGAACAACTTGCCCTCTCTGCCCACCTCCCTTGAATCCACGGGAACAGCCAGCGTGCGTTCTCCGCACGGTTCCCGATGTTCGTGCCAACGTGCGCACATTTAGTTTTCTTCTAAAAATAGCATCATATCTACGTGATACTCTGCACATACTTTTTCTCACTTCTCAGTACATCAGATGTCCCTCAAAGCTGATACATAAAAGATTCAATTCGTTGTTTTTAGGAATGAGTAATGTTCTGTAGTGTAACTACATCACCATGGCATTAAGAGTCCCTAGTTTTCTGATCTTTCTTAAACATTGCAGTAAAATATTTATAACATACTTTTAACCATTTTAAGCGTACAGTTCAGTGGCATTCAGTTGTGCAAGAATCACTACCATCATCTCCAGCGCTTTTTCATCAAACTCTGAACCCACTTGTGGGTTTGATTTTAAGACAGGCAGCCTCTGCATTCCCTAGCCCCAGTTCCTAGGGGCCAGCCCGCCTGAGGCCTCCTGTTCCCATCCTCTGTCATCTTTCTCTTCCCCGAAGGTGTGTCTTTATGCGGCTGGCCACCATCTGTGTGCTGGTGTTCACACTGGGCTCTAAGATCACGTCCTGTGATAACGGCACGTGTGAACTCTGTGGCTACAACCAGAAACTCTACCCGGTGAGCTGCGGGGCTGCGGGTGTCTGGCTGGGCAGGTCATTTGGGAGTACAGTGTCATGGTCAAGAGAACAGCTATGCGTGAAGCAGAGTCGGGCACCATGCCAGGCACTTTAAAGGGCTTGGAAACTACAGTCTGCCCTGAAGCTCAGAGGCACGTCAGCTGATGCCCGGAGCAGTGGGATCTGGAGATGGAAAGGGAATTGCAAGGCGACTGGGAGCCTTCTCTGCCTCAGGTAGGGCCTCTCAGTCTCCCTCGCCCTCTTTGGTTGCAGTGCTGGGAGACCCAAGTTGGGCAGGAAATGTACAAGCTGATGATCTTCGACTTCATCATCATCTTGGCTGTGACGCTCTTTGTGGATTTTCCCAGAAAGTAAGTGCGGGGGTGTTTCTTTGATACCCCTACCCTCTCCCACACGCACCTGGAGACTCCTCTTGCAGCTCCTCCCCCGAAAGTGCTGGATGACCCCACAGCCCCGGAAACCACCGACAACTGGTGATTTGCAGACAGCTCCAGGCCGTCAACCTCAGGGTCCGTTAGTTGCCCGTCTAAAGGCGGCAGGGAGAGTGGAAATAGCACCACTTTCCAGGAGGCTTTGCTGGGGATGACCTTCCGCCATCACACAGCCGTGGGCACTGTCACTGTAGACCCTCCGGGTGGCAGTAGACGCCATGTCTCCCTGATGTGGGCTCAAGCCCCCTCCCTGCACCTTGCTGGTCATGTGACCTCGGGCAAGTCATTGAAGCTCTGTGCCTGTTTTCGCACCTGTAGAATGGGGATGGTAGCAGAACCGACCTCCTAGCCTTGCTGTGAGGATTAAATGAGACGATGAATGCGGATAAAAGCACCTAGAACACTCCATAGGACAGAGCCCAGCAACACACACGCTGTCACCCTCACGATTACCGTTCCTGAGTGGTCACTTCTACTGTCATTCCCTGAGTCTTACGTGAAACTCTGTTCACTTAGCCACTGTTTTCCCCACGCACAGATAGATAATCCAGGCAGAGGGCAGAAGGC